AAAAAAATTGAAAGTCAAAAATTGAAAAATACTCAGTGATATGTAACAGAAAATAAAGATCTGAAATACAAATTTAAGTAAAACAAGTTTCAGGTAGTAAGTTTGTCTTAGTTTAACTAATAATAACAAAAACCAACTATGCCACAAGAAATATGTCCATTAACACAGCAACAGTAACTGTGGTCTTTAGACATGCCTTCACTAACCATCAACTGACCTGTTTTAGCTTCTTTGTCACTGTGATTACCATCATCTACACTTTCACTATTGCATGCAGTGCCAGTTACAAATAGATTGTACCGACTGTATTTGCTTGTATAGTTGTCTTTGGATGGATGATCCAGTAGGTTATAAATTCTTGAAAATGTACTCATGAGACTGTTGTAAGCATTAGAACTAGGTTGTTTGGAGTAGGCTGGCATCTTTGAAACAAAATAACCTTGAATGTTTACGAAGGGTTTCACAACTCAATTGTGTAGTTTCTTCACAATATCCAAGAAAATATTAGAACAGTATGGTAGCCATGCTCACTACTGCATCTTTACTACCATGAGTAAAACTTTTGGCTTTTTAAACACTGTACACTGTTGCTATGAGAGCAGACACAAAGTTTATTAAAAATTCATCACTTGAATGACTTCAAGATTACTATTATTAATTAGGCAAAGCTTCAAATTACAGGAGGACATCACAAACCGGCAATATCATTGGAGAGACATGGAATCCACAATAGACCAGAAACTGCCACTAATTAACCTCATGCAGAGTATTTTACGTACTTTTAGTTTCCAATTTTAAGACCTTACAAAACCTCCCAGCAGGATATGTTAAGTAACCTCTGTTCACTGTTTTGCCAATTGAAATCAAACAGTTCATTTTCAGCAGGTTGTTTTGTTTGGTTTTGGTGATGACACGTATGAATTGGAAGAATTTATTTACTAGACGATACCATAATTATCATTTACTGCCTTCTATTCAATGTTTAAAACATTTTGGGGGAAAAATTATCCTTATAATGAAAATTTCAATAGATAAAAACTCTGTAAATCTGCTGTGGTTTATTAAGGGTCAATGTTTCATACTAAAAAATATAAATGAAACATTTTATAATCATAGAAAAAATAAAAATGATATTCTCTGTTTAAACTAAATAATTAATGAGGTTGTCAATCTCACTACCATTCTAACATCAACTTGTTAGCAAACTGCAGGTACAAGTACCTGGGAGGAGTAAGGGACAACAGCTGACCAGTTTGGGAATCAATCTGGGATGGGGGAGATGCTCAGACCATATGAACCCACCATGGACATTAAATGAATTTTAACACATTCTAACAGTCAATATTTATTTTTTCCTCTCTGAAAATAGGCTAACCTTCCTCTTCTGTGGGTTGTTCTTGCTCTCCTAATTGTGGATCCACAACTGGTATGGACCCTTCCTCTACCTGTTCCTGGGGCCTTTCTTTATCAGGGGTGGTGACCTCTTCCCTGACACCTTCACCCTGCCCATTATCCTCTTCATCCTGTTCCGTTATGGTGGGCATTCCTTCTTTGCCAGTGCTTTTTCCTGGGCTCCCACTATCCCCTGGGGTAATCCTATAGCAATGGATAAAATAAACTGTTATACTCAAACTAAAATACCAAAAATTTCCACAGACCATAGTTCATGCAACAAATTCTTAATCATTTTAAGCAAAAAAAATATCTTAAGTAATTCATCTCAACGTTGATTTGCAGAAAAGCTACTATCATTACAACAAAGAAAGAGAGTCATGGCTTTTGAAAGAGTTCAAGTTTATGTTGTCCAGAAGATTATAAGAATAGGATACCGTTAACAACCACATTTGGCCAATCATACACATTTAAAGTTAAAACTTGCAGTTTAAAATGAATCACTGCCAAAATTTAAGCTCATCAACCTTGGTAGAACTAGAGTGTTGCTGGTATGTGGCCGTGGACTAACAGGCTCTGACAAAACAGAATCTGCTGTTCCTGGTCTCTGTAAGATAAGATCAGAATTTTTTATTAGAAACAACAGAAGGGATCTCAGAAGCACAATGATCTATGTTAATTTAGTCTATTCCAAGTCTAAGAGAGTTTCTCTAAGGTAGAGCAAAGATGTTTAAAAAGCATAGCTAAAGCTACTCCAGATTTAATTGCCATGCATGATATGGCAATGAACGTCTTTGCAGGCAGCTACACAAGGATAAGTGTTACTCCACTTTTTTATGCCATTATCAGAGTGACAGCATTCCTAGGTGACCATCATTTGTACAATACCTTGATTTAAGGCAAGTAATTTTCCCTGATACTGAAATGTTGCGACCCGAGTCCCACAAACACCTTATCCATTTCATTAATAATTTCTAATATATCTGTATTATTGATATTGTTGTGCATGATATTCTTAATCAAATTCTTGGTGCTTTATGGATTAGTTTTTCAAGAACTAACTTCCCATGATATGATCTCCATAATGCAGCCCACTTCTGTAATCAACCACATCCTATAGACTGATAGGCCTCTTCATATTTCAGGCGATTGCTTTCATGTATATGAGGTTTCATTTTACAGTATGACACTTCACCACGGTACCTTACTCAACCCCATCGCTCTGACGAAGGGCTAACGCTCAAAACGTCAGCTTTTTTACCCTTTACGGTGGCTAATTTACGTTTTCAACCCAGTTGTTAACACTAAATTACCTTTAAACAGTACTTACATTGGACAGCGCATGAACTAGACTACCAGAACCATCCATGCTCCTTAAGAATTCTTTGTAGAACTTCATTTTCACTTTGGAATCTCTTATTGAAAGCCGCCCAATCCCTGAAAAATGGAACTCTACATTCCTTTTTGCCTGTACAGATCTACTCAGAGCCTGAAGGACTTCCTTTACACAGCTTTCTACAGTGTCTCTGTTAAATGGTGTCTCATTTGAAAGAGCAGCAAAATTAAGCTGTACCACTGGAATTTGACCTATCATACAAAAAAAAAAAAAAAATATATATATATATATATATATAAATGTGGGGATAGAGTCTACCCTAGCATAACATACTCATTGCTGTGGTAGAAATAAATTATAGAAATATTAATATAAAAGTGAATAAGGGAAATTTATGTTCTTAACAGAATTCTGCCCTCACCAAAAATGATGTAAGTCAGGCAACAAAAAATGAGTGAAGCACAATTTTTCAGTGACAGATAATAAGTCTTATTTTGGCTTCAGTGATTAGGGGCAGAGATGCTAATTTTTCAAGGAAAAAAGGCAAATTAATTCATAGACACATATCAAGGATGACTAAATCCAATTGGGAAGTGGGGGTTCAAAATATGTCATTTAGAGAGGGGAGGATTAGAGCAATTTGAACTTGTCTTCCCTCCAGAAATAGAAATGATCCCTTAGGCTTGTCTCAAAAGAAAACTATACTGAGCAAGGGAGAGCCATAAAATTTCAAAAGTTACACAGGAATCTGATATTTGAGTCATGCTGTAGAAATGCAGTGTTACCAAAAAAAATATGTGAAGTGCCTACTTAAAATTTCCATATGCAAGTTAATTAACTAAAAAAATCAATGTATACATGCTAAAAGTCTAAGTAGCTATAAATAAATTGATTGCAAAATTAGGTGAAAGCAATATTTTCTGCTCTGATGCTGCTCCAAAATAAAACACTTTGTAGCTACACGACACAATCCTTGTGAAAGGCATTAATAATTATAAGATGACATAAATCCGTTTATATTTTGATATCAATACGGAAGGTTGATGTAGCAAAGCAGTTTACACAAGTTGAATAAAAGTGCTCTCCACTTTCACAAGGTTCTAATAACGTGTTAATGAAGTTTTAACTCTCTAGCACCATATAGAGTAAATAACGAATATTTAACTCAGCAGGCAACACCTGCACCCCACAAAGAAAGAGAATGCAATCCAAGCTATTGATATAATTAGTTTACCGGTGGTGTGATGTTTGGTGTAATTAAGAGCGTGAGTCATCGCAAACTTCTCGGACAACATGAAAACTGGTCTCTGGATCTGAATGTATTTATTATTTCCAACGTCCAGCTTTTTTTGCGAGTAGGTGAAGATACCGAGGCCTGGCACACATACACCCTGCAGGAAACATAGAAGATTCTCTTACACCCTTTCTCAAACAAAGTTGGAATTTGCGAAATCAAACAGGTGACCACAGAGTTTACATTTTCTACACGATCTTCGGTAGTTAATCTGTTTAAAGGTAATTTTAGATGTATTTTACAACGATTTAAAAAAAAAATCCCGAAAGAGAAATAAACCAGCGATCTGCGCGGAAAGAAAACATTCCATTGCACGTGCAAGAAGACAAATTGTTACAGCGCAGAGTTACGACTAACCTTTTGAAGAGCCATTTGTTTCTCGATGAATCTTGACACATTGTCCCACACATTAACAATATCTGAGACATAGGGGCAAGAAAAGTGAAACAATTACAGCGGGAGAAAATAACCAAACAAGGACGCAATTATAAGTTAGTTTTCGATTTTCATATTGACTTACCTTCTTCTGTCAGCTTTGGTATTGCTGAATATCGATTCTTTCTGGCCTCAGAGACCAGGCCATACATTACCTCAGCCATTTCGGCTCCACGTGCTGAGGCTTTACTCAATAGTGACAAGTTTTTATCTCAAAACATCTGCTTTACAGAGAACAAACGCGAGTCGATAAGTGCCTTCGATTGCGGTACATAATCGTTACCATGACGACAACGCTCGGCCAAATGGCCAGCGGAATATTTCATTAGCTAGTGCCAGATCTCGATCAGGATACACAGGATGAATGTCGCAGACCAACGTGGCACAATTTTCCAAGTTTCCATGTATCTTTATTCAATTGTGCGAACATAACGAAAACATAAATAATTTTCATTTTCAAATTTTTCGTCAATTCCACCATAAAAATTACATACGTTCTGCACTGGCGGAGTGTTATATTCGGCAATATAAAATCTTAAAAAATCACTCCTCGTGCACAAACACTTTGAATGGAGAATAGTGACCATCTTTGAAAGTAGAGCAAAATCGCCGAATTCTTTCTTGAATTTGCTCCATCCTGATATCATTCTACCAAAAGATAAAAATAAAGTAGAAAATAGATAAAAATTGGACAACTGAAATCACTTTTTTATCACCCATTATAATGCAAAGAGATGACTAAACCATTGTGGCACTGTGATATATTGTAGACAAATAAAATTGGAAAACCTTGATGATATTGTCATATTATGGTAACTGGTAGATAGATTTGAATACTTCCGAAGCGCGAGTCACTCGACTGACCTTTGGACCAAAAAATTCAGCGCCATCCGAGCTGGGAGAAGGAGGGTCCACTGGCCCGAGACCCGAATAACCTGTAAGGTAGCAACATCGGAAAAAAGTACTTTTCGATTAACTAGAAACCAAATCCAAAGGCCAATTATTAAAATTGAAAAAAACATATCACAAAGAACCAGCGAGAGCTCGAGTGAAATCAAACATACAGCCTGAAGAGAAGGAAAAACGCAATTCCGGTTTGTCTTCGGCACTCAACTGAAAATTGCTCTCCGTCTCCTCTTGCTCCACGGGAGGCGATGTGAGAACTAGTTCGCTACAATCAAACTAATTCAACCACTGACTACACAGTTTCAATCGAGTCTTTGAAGTAAGCAAGAGTTTAAAGTAACACTAAACTATTTATATAACTACTTATATGATCTCATCTTGTTTAAAGAAGTTCTCCGTCGCTTAGAGGCGGTTGAGCGTTCTTGCAAAGGGTTTTCATTGGTCCATTGTACCATTTAGGTTTTTCTTTGATTACATAATGTGAATTTTTCAAGTTTTGGGACAAACTTTTTAGCTCTGCTTCTCAAGAACCCAGGTCATTTATAGTCATACTTGTTGCCAGATAAAGGGAGTACTCAGAATTTTTCATATTTCCATGGCTAATATTTTCAGAGATATGTTTTTCATTACAGGCTTGACTCTTATGATTTTAGTTTTTCTCTTCTACATGTAAAATGAAGTATTATACTGAATTGTATCGTTCGTGAATGAAACAGAGAGCAAACTAGAAAACGACAGCAAATTAAGGGCAGAGCTGTGGGGACAACGTAGGCCTAAGGAGGGCCATCTGGGGAGCGAAATTGCATCATATTACCGTATTTCCATTTTATAGAGTCCTCGTACAGGACAATGGCCATCACGGCGTCCTCTTCTGAAACCTTCGAGTAAAACAAAGACGATTTTCTATCGTTGTATTTTAGGATTTACAGGGGCTGAGGAAAACCACGAATAACCCGGTTGGAAAATGTTAATTTTTTCACATTTGAAAAATTAGTTTATGCAACTATTCATTTGTTGGTATTCATGTATCAGATAAAAAAAAATTAAGATAGTTCTTTCCGCGTGTAAAGCTGGGGAAAAAGAAGTTTCTTAAACAAAGAAAATGAAGAAAACTTCTACTACAGGTTCCGTGGAGGTTCTGTCATTTTGGAAATTTTCGCTCAAACATCATCAGTCCAAAATCACGGAAAAATTCCACCGGTTTCAAGCCGACTGACTCTTCCAGCAGCTTCTTGCCCCAATTGGTATGACGATCTTTGTGAAAGGTGCAGAAAATGAAATCACCTTTTATTTGCTCGCATGCTCTCCTCAGCTGTTCAACAACGTGTACTTGGAACATGACTGGGTCTTCTGTGTAAATAGATGCCACCCAATGCATGTGCTTTACTCGGGGCGATCGCCGACCATGAGCGAACGATTTCGGTAGCACGCCAGTGGAGCAGTCGTTTGCATCTCGGTCCGAAAAGACGCAGTCACCCTCTTCGAAAATGCAATCGATATTGGATCGGAGAGCTTCGAAAGGCTCCCAGTCAACGACGATCGTACGGCCTGGAAACATGTTTGCCACTGAATCGTTCAAAATAAAATTGTAAAGGAAAAGTCTTGAACAGGCTTTCACTTTCAAATCAAAAGTACCAGCCACGGCTTCCAGATGATGTGGTTTCAAAGTTTCTCTGTTCACGTAGAAGGCCAAGATGTCTCGCTCAAACAAGGCGGTGTCGCCGTACTTCTTCTGAATAGAAAGACGCTCGATGTTGTCGGATTTAGTCGTGAAGCGTTCTCGGCAGACTTTGGGATATTCTTGCCGTATATGCTTGTGAATGGTGTCGATTAAACGGGTACTCAAGCCCAATCCACGGAATCTGGGATGAATCCTCAAGCCTTGACTTATGAAAGTCTCGCCTCCGTCAACGATGTGAATAGCTCTCAGTCCAACAAGCTTTTCACCATACTGAGCAACAAAAATAGTACGGTTCGGTTTGGTCAGCCATTGATGAAAAAAGCAAGGAAAGTAGTCATGGCCGTTGTAAATGCCTTCCGACATTTCTAGGACGGCTGCAAAGTCGCTCGACACTGCTTTTCGAATAGTTATTTCCTTCATAATTTTCTCTACTCGGCAGCTACTCAAGAAAACGCTATCGAGGGTGAAACTAGGAAGAGGTTGTTTACGGTAACATATTTAAATTGTTTCTCGTGAGAAAAAGTAACTATTATTGGGAACAGACACAGGTGATAGAAACGTAAAACGTTAATTCCAGCAAAACAATTACTCATAAAGCAGTTTTCAACAATGCTTTCTGATAGTTTGTAATTTAAAATTATTATTAGACTTCAGTCCCATCCCACGTAAAAACAAGAGGGTGGAAACTGTAAACAACAATTCGGCGAGAAAAATAGAAATTAAAAATGATGAAAAAATATGTTTGTGAGCTTTGAATGTTTGAGAAATTTGCTCGACAAAGGCTATTTATTTGCATATACTCGAAAACTTAACTTAAAAGTACACCGATCCTGATTTCACTTAAATACTTATATCTTCTGTCGGGTGGTATACTTCGAACTGGTCGGGCTCGCCTTTTCACTTCACCATCAGAAGACACTTAGGTTGACGGGGGACGCCAAATCACCCTCTCACGATGTCATTTCGTCGGTCCTCAGTTCAGCATTGAGAAGTCAACCAAAAATAACATAATTTCATAGAATTAATGCGAGCCGCTTAACATGTACTTGGAGGACAAAAGCTCGGGTTTACGAACGTTAATGAAAATGCTTTGTTACAGTTGGCACTCCTCTGAGGAAACACACGGCTGCTTCTCACGAGATTTACTACTTCTGCGCGGATTTACGATCATTTTAGTCAGTTTACAGTTATGAGTTTAGGAAGCCACATTATTGGACAATCAAAGTCATCCAAAATGTCGTGAAATTTTTAGTGAAAAACGCGTCAACCCAGTGGTTCCGCCTCTTCGGTAAACAGTTTTTAATAGCAACTTTTGCTTAAAAAAATTGCTGCCACGTTAATTTAAAAGGCAAAAATTCGACTTTCAGGCACCAAAGCCCACGTATTTCCTACACCAACACAATCAATACTATCACTTTGACCGGCTCCACAGCCTTTTCTCTCCAATAGATGTTCGGTAAATTTTGTAGAACACGTCAAAAAGAGCTTTCCTCAGTTCTCGTTTCCTGTCACATAAACAAATTTGTTACTTTGCTGTCAATAAGCCGTCGATGAGCTGCGTGCCTTTATGCCAGCTACCTGTGCTAAAATCAATGACTCTGTTTTATTTTTATTTTTTTTAAAGCTTTAAATCAGGATCGGTGTCAATAAAGTTTCTGTGCGTGACTTAAGTCTTGACGACGGTGGTAAATTTTATTCACAAAATAAATCTCATGAAACGAATTGTTTTCAAGAATCTTTCTAGGAGTATCGAAAGCAAAAAATCCCATGGTGACATAATTTGGGCAGGATAGCAAAGCGACTTCCTAATGTGACAAGTATGATTAAAAAGTACGTAACAAGAATATTTCAGACACGGTTCCCCTCTGAGACTGTTAAGGATCAGAAGAGCTTGCGTTTTCGGTCAGTCTCAATTTTTCTTGAACATTTTGTCCGTTAGTCTAATCAATATCGAAATAATTGAAGGTGAGATTCATTCAGTTATAGGGTCGAATCTATAAAATGTGATCAAAACTTCCTTTGTGAAATATTCTAAAATGCTTCCCCGAACGCCTCTTGACTTTCTTTTTAAAAGTTTTTTACCTTTATCGAACTTCTCATTGCCATTCAGACAAATACCACCGTCAGTTCAGATGTCCAATAACAGAACCACGTCATCATCGACGTTATGAGCACGTGTTCGTGAAATAGAATCCATTTTTTTGTGTTTGTTTATAAAACAAAATAGAACACGGTTCTACAAAAACAGTAACCGTTTTTTCAATCAAACCACTTTTCCGCACCCCCTCCCTACCCAACCAAATTTCGCTCTGATACAGGAACCAAGCGTAGAATATGGTGGAGCGTCCATAGTCTTTCGGAGCTAATAACACCATTGAATCGGAGTCAAACATGAGAAAAACATAATTGCATCCTCTTCCCACAAAGGTTCTTTAGAAGCAAAAAAACATCGAGATAAAATTGCAACCACCCTCCCTGTATGCCAGTCCACGCCTGCAGGCGATAAGAAAAGTGTACTCACTGGACAAGACCGTCCCCGATTAGATTTGCTTACCTCTGAACGAAGTGATAACTTGGCATGAGCAATGGCCAAACTGGTCCTGGAAAAGAAAGAAAGGGCAAGTTAAGAAGAACTAATTGCATGTACTCGATAAACAAAGGGGAAACGGTATAAATACTTTTAAAATACCGGAAGAAGAGAACAGGAGGAATCAGACTGACAAAAGTAACGATAGCAGTAAAATTCTATGTAGGTAATTAGAATAATAACTCTATATAGTTTAATCAATAATAGAAGCAGAGGAATATAGTGTATCAGTAACGAAGTCATAAACACCAAAGCGGAAAGGAGGGCGGTTAAGCAGGAACAAAACTCAGATTACACACAAACTGTAAATCACTACTGGGTTCTGCAAAGAAATTAAATCTAGTGACCTTGAGATGGGTACAAGGAATCGATACTGGCTAAACTTACAGATGTTGTAAAGCAGAAGAAGGGAAGTCTGCGCCAACCGTTGAAAGAGAGTTTTTGGTTCGCCTACTTGCCAAATAATACCCTTGAATAAGATCCTTTGCTGCCACTGTGAGGCTAACGTGTTTTTGCCCAGCGTGGTGAAGGAACTGAAGAAAGAAATTCAGAAGACAATTACAGCTACACACTAGTTACACTTTTGCATTGAACCAATGGACTTGGACGTAGGCACGAATGGATGGTTTTGTGACAAGTCGACTTTTCTAAGAATAAGAAGGAGCCAACAATTCTCGTTCTCGTTTTAAAATGGTTTTTTTCTCATTAATTAATGGCTGTTTTTACCATTGTTACGTTTCTGCCTTAATCTGATGCTAAAGGAACATAACTTAACAATGACATATACGGTATCAGAACAACTCACTTTACCTGGCTCATTTCCTCGTCACTAATGTACATGACATCTTCATCCTCTTCATGATCTAAGGCTTTCCTTAACACTTCTTCGCACACTGACTCATCAGAGTTTTCAAACTGCTCCGCTGATCCACTCAGGTTAAACACTAATGAAAACTGACTACAGGTAGAAATGATATCTTAATAGGATGTTACGTAAAACCAGGACATATCAAAAATGTTGAAGTATAGGAGAAGACAGGTGGTTCAAAATTAGAAGTGCAATCCTAACATACCATACATTCACACATAAATCACACTTATCCTGCCTGCTTGTACTTACTCTACAAAGACCCTTGGCAAAGTTGAACATTCCTGCAAAGAGTGAAAGGTTAAAAATATCATTTTCAGGAATAGAAAGAGATGGAGTCATGAAAAAAGGGAAAGACAATTTAATAACCTTACGTGAGCAAGAATCAAATAAACATGCCTTTACTGACAGACCCAGGTTTAAGACAGGATCATCATCAGGGACTGCATGATGACTGGATTTCTGTAATGGTTCAGAACACACCCAAACACTACTAGTTAGTGGTATGGTGACCTGGCGACCTTGATAAGACCCAAACTTTTCTGGTACCTTCACTGCCATACATCCATTCTCTAAAGCTGGTGAAGAGGAAGTCCAAAAAAGATGTAACTACCAGATAGTCTTAGATATCTTTAACAACTCATCACCAAGATAGAACATTTAATTTGAATGGAGATCAAAACAAAGAGTAATGCACTATGCTTGCAAGAAATTTCATGGTCAAAACTTGCAAAATCAGTGGTGTTACTAGCTGAGATAGGACTTAAGGGAGACATTTCACATGGTGATGTCATGTATGCATCTTTCCTCCAATAGATCATACGTAAGAGTCAGTAAAAATGCAGACTCAGCAGACTACATAAATCCACGTAGCAAACAATCTTTTAAACTTGCTTATAATAATCGATGGGAGGACACTTCGCTGATATCTTGAGATTATTCAAAATCATCAAAATTTAAGCAGTGGTTTATGTTTTATTCAAGCTTATTAAGTACAACCAAGAGAGAATGATGTTCATAATTTATACCACATTGAAGCTTATCCTTTTCATCTTTCTTTAAGACAGCTGCATTAGGAATCAGACAAACACCATCAGATGCCAGAGAGATACATCCAGCTGAAGCAAAGGAACAAGAAAAAAACAATTATCATTACTAGGCATATGAATAAACCACAAAGTGCGCTATTATCTTCTTTTTTTTACAAGAAAACCTAGTGATACAGCTCTGTACCCCTACCACATGGGGAGCAGGTCTGACCTGCCTTCACCCTGCCCTGCCCCCCCCCCGACCCTTCTTAGGAAATAAGTTTCATTAGTGAGAATATCTTAATTTTGAAACCCCATTCTCCCTGGAAATGCAATTGACTCTCTTTGAGGAAGGAATAGTTATATCTTCTTGTCACCTTCTTCTAACCTCACACAATTTTGGAATTTTTGATTGTAAGTTTTACTATAACATCTATCTACAAAGCTTCTTTGTGTTAGCCTCACCATCAATCATAAACGTGCCTGAGCCAAAAGGATCCCGGCAACAGGATGGGAATAAATCACTTGGAGGAGAATAAACAAGCATTCTCTTTGCAAATGATGCCATGTAAAGAAATAGCCTTTGAATCCTAAGAAGGTCATCAGCAATAACAAGCAAGTGAAGATGCCTTGAGTTTGCTTGTTTAGTATCTTCAGGGCAATCAGAAGAGTGAAGAAGCAGTAGGGACATGAGCAAGAACATTTTTAGATGAAAGAATGTTCCAGGTGGTGTCACGGACGCTATGAGAGAAATAAGAAGATGTGCACCATGTATTGGATAATCATTGTTCTCATGTTTTCAACTGGTCTGTGGTAAAAAAAAAATCTACAATTTCAATTTTTTTTCTCCACATTAAAATTCCTCCCTATCCTCAAAAAAGACATTCATCTGTGTACTGTATCAGTCTTAAAAGGAACTTTACTGTCAACTTGACTGATTATTTCTTTTGAAGTTCTGATTACTTGTTGAAAATGCTGCCTTAAGTCTGAAAACAGGATCATATTTTCCTCTTGTTGAGGGACCAAAATCAGCCAGAGCATTCTCAAGCTAAACTGGTCATAAAAAAGCAGTTATAACAGTTTAAAGTACCTCCAAAGCAATATGATAGACTGCTTACAAAACTCCATGCTGAACTCCCTCTGTCTGTTTCAAAAATAAAAGAAAATAATGTTATTTATTCCATGAAAGACTGTAATTATAATTTTCTTAGGTTAATGAGTTAACTGAGTTAGGTAACATATCTGATGAACTCTTTGTGGAAAAGGAAATAATGATAAGTTTGTGTCTCATGGCAGTTATAATGTATAGAGTACATATCTACAGCAGTTGATGTAGTAGACTTGAAATAAAGACTTAAATATATTCATGATTGTCAGTCCTTACTTGTAGTACTTCCAGGCATGTATCTGATAGCAAAAGATAATAGCACTACCTTTATGAAGCATTTCTATTCTATTTGGCAAACTGGAGGGTAGCAGATTCAAGAAAGGACTAGAACTCATCTAAAAGACAAATTAAAATAAACATTTGGTGCATAATTTTGAAACAACAACTCTGAAAATATGGCCCAAAATGCCTACTCCAATTATCTTATAATGGTACAATGGCTTCAAAAATAATTTGGAGATTGATTTCAGAGGAAAACTTTCTTAAGCTTCAAAACAGTCCAAATGCCATTTATGACTTAATAAACCAAAATCATGACATGCAAAGAAAGTGGGGTGGCTGCCACTGCAATAAGTATCACAAATAAATCTGCACTTTTACTGCTAATGAAAATGCACTGATAAATAACTATTTTCAAATCAACTACCAGCAACTGGTAATTTATCAGTTGTTCACAATTTAGTCTTACCTTCACTATGTTGTTTGCCTGTAAAAAAATTAATAATCAGAATAAGTGACAACAAAGAAAAAATTTATTGTGTTCAGGCAAGAAACATCAAAACATAACAAAGTGTAAGTGAATTTTTATGGCAAATGAGTGAAGTAAGATAGCTGTCAACATCATTAACAGGTGTACCTCAAACACTGGAGTACAATGAAGTTGCAAAGAAGAACTATGAATTTCACATGAGGGTAAAAGAACAAATGAACAGTAACAGCCAATCTGAACCTCCCTGATGAGTTCATCTTTTAGAGAAAATAAGAAAAAGAAAAGAATTAATACCCTGGGAATCAATTAGCATGTATATGATGTCCATAAACATGTGGATCAAATGTGTAGTTTAATTAATCCATGTAGTTAAACTGAAAACAAACCAAACTAAGACATGCAATAAATTGGAGGCAGCATAACCTTGGAGTGATTTTGGGTGCTGGGTTTTAAACCAATCACCCAAGATTAATTAAAAAACATTTTACTACTTAAGGTTGTTTTTCTAGTGCTATAAGCTCTACCCCTTAGTCGTGAAACAATCAACTAGTTCCTACCACCCTGTAGGAATTCTAACTTTTCCTCTTTATTCTTTGCTCACCTTGGACATAGATTGGGATGGTTTGGTAAAATTTTCCACACCCAGTGTTGATCCAAAGTTTCCTGTCTACTGTTAATGGTGATATGACTTGAACAATGCATTTATCTAGTGATGAAAAATAAACCAATCAAGAAAACAAATTGAGAAAAGAAACATTTCAAATTCCCCTATTAAAGGAAAGGGTAACATTATATGTATTACCTGCTAAAGTACGGCAAGTAACATCTTCAAGTAGAGAGCATCCACAGTATCTACACACAAAATCACTCCTACCAAAACACAATGTAGACCACTTTAGGTAAATATGAGTTAGAACAAGTAAATCTTAATTCAAAGGCAATAACCTAAGTTGCAATAGGTTACCATAAATTATACACTCTTTGTCACCCCCTTTAGCCTTGGGGCTGCTCAATGATGATAACAACTTTCTCAATTAAACTTGTGGCACATTTTTGACTTGCATGTATAGAATGTATGCTCTTTTTAAATCATCGATTCCTATAAATGCCTTGAGAAATCCCTTCAGATATCTGCTTGCTAAAAAAGCTACTTCACAAGATCCCAAGTGTGCAGCTTACCTTACAGTGACATTTTCTGTTTTTCCAGCCATATGAACTCTGATGTAACAATATTTAGCAGAACCAAGACAATCAGAATGAGGACAGTAGAATCTTGCACTTTGGCTAGAGAATCAAGGAAGAGATTCTGTCAAAGATCTCACATCTAACAACATTATTATGCACAAACTGGATCATTGTTATTCAAAGGTTGTAATTGTTACACTATTACTATTTGAGGAATAGCTGCTTTCTATCTGTGACTCCAAGGTTTAGTAACTGATAGAGAAGGAAACAGTAAAAAATCCCTATTTTGACATTTGGACTGCAAGGTTTAGCATTTTTTCAGCTTTCCCAATGGTTCATTAGACTGAGTATAGGGAGAATAAAGTGTCTTGCACAAGAACACAGCACAGTAATTCTGGCCAGAGATACATGTATAGCTCAGGCTACTGTGTCTTTTATAATACACTACCATCTAGACAAAAACAAAAGCTCTTTGTCTACAATAAATCTTAATTTTCAACTAAGATGTGATTATAATGAGGCAGTTTTAAATGCCAGAAAAGTTTAAGTAGTTAAATTACAGCTTGTGCTTAAATTAAAACTCACGTGTACTGAGTAACAGCTGTAATTCCACTTATGATACCACATATCTTCATGAGATTAGGCTGACCATTACCAGCCAGATTCCAACTGCTTATAGACCTGAGTTGAAACTTATCAAAATTAGCTTTCATTGTCCACTTAGCAACTGAAGGTAGATCAGTCTGTGTTGAAATTAATGTGCTACAAATAATGATAATATCTGTGGGCCTACCAGAGGCAAATTATACTAGTGTACAAATATAACACCTCTTCTGTAGACAATTCTCTTCTCTCAGTGAAAAATTGAGCTACAGGAAACTAGTGTGGAGATAGATACACATGTAGAGAAGCTAACTTTAAATTTGGCTATCTTATAAAGATCTCAGCACATGTATACCATGTCTTGTTGTAAATCATACCCTGTATGTACTCAACTATATTAAAATTATTTTAGGAAGCATGAACCTACTCTTGATATGGTGGAACTGATGAAAACCTGACTACAACAAGAACTTGTGATGGGAGCAACAAATCTGGTATCCATGACAGAGTGTGAATAACAATATAAGAGACCTGTACAGAACATATCAGAGAAAAGGTTTACTGTTTGATCACAATCTTAAAACATTATTGGTGGCAATATTCTTTTTTTTTCTAATGGGTATAAATTTTGATTACCAGTAGTCTGTTATAAAATAAACATAAAAATATGTCATTGTCAATTTCTTCATGATTCAATGGCCATTTCACAGTTGTGTACCTACTTGCCAAGCCTTTGATTTGGAGTAAGGCTGAAGGTGACCCTGCTGTGATAGAAACCAGTATCTACTTAGCATGATAACAAAGTAATTTGTATTCGAAAAGCAGCAACGTTTGTATCATACCAAGGTCACCCTTAGCCTCACTCCTGTTCAAAGACTTGGCAACCAAGCATGCAACTGTAAAATGGACTATTATTATAACCATTATTTAAAATTCAAAAATATCTACTAAGGGAAATCCAATAAATCTTACTTAGAAGATCCCTTTTCTTACTCTCAAAACATTACATAGTAAACTAGCACTTTGTCAAGATTGATAACTGTGCATGCATAGACCTTTGAATGTGTTGTCCTTTTGCAACCTTCCACCTTTGTTTTCTTTTCAGTTGACCTCTTTTCCAGGCTTAGAAGGCTAACGGATATTAACTAAGTATTAGGGGTATAGTTGCTGGAAACTGTAGAGTTAATTTCATAACAACTGTATTGTTTTGTACTGTTTAATACACTTTTAACGATAATGATTGTGCAGTCACATTGAGCCACCATGTACATTTTGCATGTTGACAATTTTGAAGCTTGCACTATGTTAACATCCAGATCTTGCACAATCAAAAACCCTGTAGAGCCTCCTGAACACCTAGGCTTAGAATTGTGGAGAAGCATATATGAAGTGGATTTATGACATCTATGTTACACAAGAAATTAGAATACTGCTGGCCTTTGGGAGAAATATTCTTGTTAACTAGCTATCGCAGGACACATGTGGAGTGTGCCTGAGTCCCCTAAAAACCACCAACCATGGCCTAGCTCTTACCTCTTGAAAAACATTTATGGCATTCAAAGGCTCCACTATAGCCAAATTTCCTAGTGTAGCTAGGAGACAAAAATTGGTAACAATGGTTAATGGAAACCTCTAATAGGGGCATGACAACATTTTTGTTTCTTACAACAATATCATAAGAAGTAGTTATATTGAAAAGATGTTGTTTGAAATCACACAAACCATACCATTAAAGTCAAGCAAATCCATAAGATCCATTTCAAACACAAATCTGTAAACAGTCTTTTCCTATGAAGGATATGAAAAACACTTGTTGTAAAAATGTCTCATCTGAAAATTCTCATAAGAGTGACCCTTCTGGATACTGGTCATTGATAAAATCACATATAAAATTCCACTTTGAGATAGGTTTTGATCTCAAAATAATAAAGGCTGGGGGCTATTTACTTTCGTTTATAAGGAATAAAGTCAATTAATATAAATGCCATGATGCCCTTTTCTCAATTAAATTAAAAAGGCCTAACCGTGACATGAATTAATCCAAAAGTAATGGCATGTAATTAAGCATTTCCTTCTCAAAGAAATACTCATCAACTTGTTTTTGTTTGCTGCAATTTCAGCTTATTCACGACTGCATAAATATCCTCATAGTTTTTAAAACCCTATGACTTACCGTGGAATCTGCAGAGTAACATTTACTTTGTTTTCTGAGCTGTTCAAAGGCCCCACACTCACAGAACCATTCAAAAGCGACTTCCAAAATACTCTTTACCTCCATACTCTTTCCTACGATAACAAGCCTTTGATGTCGGGAGGAAACAAAACAAATTTCAAAATGTTTGATGCAACATCCTTGGCACAATCTTTGTTTACAAAATTACAGCTGTAGCATAACTGGCATTTGGCAGCAGGTCCCAAACGCGTTACTTTTCCCGCCTTTTCTTTGAGTAACGTCACCATCGTGAGAACGCCAACGACAAAAGATGCGCACTGGCGTTTTCCCAGATGACCAAATTTTTTTAGAAAGCAGTTTGGTTTCCTCTCAAAAAGCATTTACCCGAAACTTTACTCAAAAATATATCGACTCCCTCGCATCCGGCGGAAAAATTTACGGGATAATCAACGCCTGGACGCCCGGGCTGAGTATGAAGGTGTTCAGCGGACATGCATCTGCGGCTAAATATGCTGTGTAAGTATCACAGAAAATTACAGGACGTGCATGACATAAAACTGGCATACTTGTCAGCCTCCATAAGGAATGACTGTTCATGATCGATGTATTGTAAAACCCCAAGTCAAACCGTTTTTTCCAGAACTGAGAATGCTACCTTACGAGCATGAGAAAATTTTGACATTTAACAGAAAAACAAAAGAAACAAAAAAACAGAGAAGGCAAAGTAAAACACAGTTTCCTTTTTTGCAATCTCGGTAAAACCTCTAGCTTCAACGTGTTATAATGTTTACGCCTCTGCGTAAGGGATCTAATTTTTGTACCAAAATGAATGTACTTTGGATGGTATGTTTCGCAGGCGACAACGAAATGAGATATGTTCCTTTCGTGTATCAGCATAGCTGCCAACACTACAAGCCTTTAAAGAAGGTGATCTTCGCAGTAGAACACTACTTGAGCAGTAGTGAAAATAAGGCCTGAATTTTTTTCAGGCCTTATTTTTATCACTACTCAAGTAGTGTTCTACTGCGAAGATCACCTTCTTCACGTCTTTATCCGCAGTTCAAATATATGACTTTCATATATTCACAGCCGTTACTACAAGTCTTTAGTGGTTAATCCGACAAATGAATGTCGCGTCTGGTAAAAAGTGAACATAAAGTAAAATAAATTTATGTGTAATAAATGCGTCTACAGAGGTAAAAATGCGCGACACCTTGTGTGTGACATTTTACCCATGCACACACTTGACGGCTTCCCCAGTTTGAGAATTCGATTGGATCCGTGTGTCTGTCTGTCTAACGAGCCCCAGCAAACGAATTCGTCCGGCCCGTTACGACATATGCTCACGTTCCTCGTTATACCACCTCTATCAGTTTTATTTTGTGATTCATTTCCTTTATTCGTGACCGGAAACGCCTAATTACACCCACAGTCAGACAATCTTCTTCACCCTTCCCCCCAACCTGGAATTTAAAAACTCTTTACACCAACAATTTCTGCTAATAAAACAACGTTCTTTTGGGACCTCATGGCAGTAGACATGAGAGAACGACCAAGTTCCGTAAAGTTTTTTCTTATTTATAGTAAATATTCCACCGAGTTACTGTTCATGTGAGATATTTGATCTCATAACGACTTGAGGTTTATCAACTCCGTTTAGTTACTTATGGGCGACGATTTGTCACTACCTTGGAATAATTTGAACGGTCACTGTCACTCGACATGCATAAGCCAGATAAGAAAAATTGTAAAAGGGTAGTTAAAAATAAATAAACGATATGATAGCATAAAATGAAATGGAAATGTTACATCTGATATAAAAAAAAGGAAAAAGTAACCGACACCTACAGTCCCATTTTAGAAAAAATATCACACTGACCTAAAAAGATAATTGCTCAGAAAAAAAAAGGAAGAAAGATGATAAAATTGGCGATAATAATGGAAAAAAGACAAAGCAAAAACAAAATGAAAATTCCACGGGGAGGAGTTACTCGGCCCCCAAGCCAGTTTGAGAGTTACTCCTTGTCCGCCAGCTCCAAATCATACTCGGGGAGAAGTTATTCGGCCCCCAAGCCAGATTAAGAATAACTCCTCGATGAGCGTGATTCGAACCCGATTACCGACCATCGATGACATTAATTAATATCAATTGTCGGTATGGAGAGTTTTTGCACCGGGCTCGTTGCGTTTGCCTGAGACAATGGATTACCAAGAAGTCGACCATCTGGAATATGACGATCATTATTTAATGGAGGATCAATTGTCGGTATGGAGTTATTCATTTTAAATACCGGTCTAATGGTGAATGAAGAAAATTCGAAACGTAACAAACTGGTGTGGCAAATACAAACTCCAGGACGACAAAAGCTTCACGAGGCACGAAAAATGCATTCCGCGAAATAGAAAGAACACTAACAAAGAAAAGGTAGAAAACTTTTTTAACTCTAGAATTTCATGTACTTTTGCTGTAAGCCATAGTTGTAAAAGTCAAAATGAAAGAAAATAAACAAATAACGTGGAAATATCACTTGTAGAAGGCCGAATGCCCATGCACCACAAGAAGGTGTAAAGTGTCATCAAAATACTGATCAACAAAAAGGCAAGTTTAAGAACTGGAACAGTTGTGTACACAAGATTTATTTAAGATTTATTGTCCACTATTTTTGCTCACCCTACGTTTTGTTGTGTTATTAAAAGTAAATCATAAGTATAATTTATTCACTTAACATCATTTTCTACATTTCCCCGCCAATTTAACCCTTTTTTCGATATCATTTAATGATTGAACAATTATAATCTCACATAAAGGCATTTAAAAAGGAAAAAAGAAAACAAATACACCTTACCACAATGCCAAGTTAATTTAAAAAGGAAAAAAGAAAACAAATACACCTTACCACAATGCCAAGTTAATTTGATCCCTGACTCGATTATTATAAAATCCTTCAACAAACAAAAGGGTGTAATACTGTGAATATTTTCAGAAGTAATTCTAGAGTCTTCAGTGGAAAAATTGGTCGAAAACTCTTGATGGCGCTTGGCAGTCCTTACAAAAAACAGGTGGTCTCCCTTGTGCGATGTGACTACTGATGAAGAGGTTTTCTGAGCTCCATGCACTCGGATTGTTTGATGCTGTTTTCAAATTAATGCTAAGAGAAGACTTAAGACTGTCAGAGCTAAATCTACATGTTAACTTAGCGAGGGTTTTTCTCGAATTTCACGACGAGTATTAGGAATTTTCTCTTTTTAGCATTGCAGCTAAATGTAGAAGATATCAATTTAGTCCACAGTCTGTTTGGTCCTTGACAACAGGACTGGTGCTAACATCAATCGGTAAGATTATTTCCCCAATAAAAGGGACCGTAAAGGTTGTAAATAACGAAAAGTGTTGATTCAAATCGCGGATCTTATTTTTAAAACTTTATCTACAATCAGTGGGGAAAAAAAGAGAGGCGTCGATAGAAACATTTTGACACTAACTCTCATTGTTTAAGCTTAATTACTTATGGGCGACAATTTAAAGATACCTTAGAGTACACTGGTATGCAACTGACCTCAACCGAAATACAGAAATCAGATAATTAAAAAAATTAATAAGTGGTAATAATAATAATGAGATAAACAAACAGAGAGAAAGATATTACACCTGTCTTTCGTCTTGGGGACACAGCTTTGAATTAGCAAGAGTACTTATCCCTGAACGATGTTTGACCACGTTGGAAACTGGTGTCATAAATGCAAGCTTCAAGCCATTCCTAGTAGCCATAGTTGCCGGTGTACACAAGATTTATCTTTAAATTTTACACGTTATCTATAATTTTTTTCTCACCCTACCTTCATAAGTATTATTTAGCTACTTAACATTTCTTTCTTCATTTCCCCATTCGTTTAACAGCCTTTTTATTTGATTCCATTTAATGATTGAATAATTATAATCTCACGTAGATGTATTGAAAAGGAAAGAGAAAAACAAATATACCTTACCACAATGCCAAGTTACTTTGGTCTCAACTAGTATAAAAAACTTTAACAAATAAAAGGGTGTAATACTGTGTCTTTTTTCAGAAATAATTCTGGAGTCTTCAACGGAAAAACTGGTCGAAAATACTTGATAGCGCTTGGTAGTCATTACAAAAACAGGTCGTCTCCTTTGCGCGATGTGACTACCATGAAAAAGTCTTCTGAATTCGAATTTCACGGCGAGTATTAGGAATTTTCTCTTTTAAGTATTGCACCTAAATGTAAAAGACATCAATTTAGTTCACGGTCTGTTTGCCCCTTGACAACAAGAGACTGGCGCTTATATCAATCGGAGAGCTTGGTGGGATTTTTTCCCAAGTAGATGGGACAGTATGGGTGGCAAATTGTGAAAGGTGCAGAGTCAACTTCTTTTGGGCGACAATTTGAAAATACCATAGAATAATATACCATGCAATTGTCGCTCAACATGCTTACATCACATGTAAAACTTTAAAAACAATGAATAACTGGCTGTAATAGTAATAATATAAACAGAGATAAAAATATTAGACCTAATTTCTTAAAAAAAGGTAACCAAAGCAACCGAGACGTACCAAAACCGTATCCGAAAATATCACAATAGTCCATTTGTTATCGAGAGTGATGAGGACGATTGACTATACAGCTACTTTTTTAGGTTTCAATTAATTTCCACAGCAGCATTTTCTTGTTCCATAATCACTGACGCAAGAAAAATATATATTTTTCTAAGATTGACAAAATTCTTCGGCATAAAAAAAAACAACCAGTAGCTGCTGTGATTTTCGAGAAATTCCGTCACAAACCTTTCTTAAATTCTTGCTCGGTCTTTCTGAGGTGCTCGCGTCATCAATAAAATGTCCCTTTGAATTCAAGTGAGGGAAAGTGCTTTTTACGAGATAAATTAATAATTTTGGTTCGAATGCCACAAATATTTTTTAAAAAAACAACTTACGAAACTCAACCACTTGAGCCGTACTGTCGTTTTTGTGCAGACCTCGCAGCGTTCGGTCCATATTGCCACGACCAGTAAGAAGTCAAAATAATTAGAAAAATGATAATAACATTTAAATAGAAAAAAATATATATATAAATATATATTACAT